GATTCTCCAGACTTTGGGGGCCTTTCTCCAAACTATATCACCCTTGCACTGAGCTAGTTCCGGCCAAGTGTGAATGTTGGCCTGAGACAGAGTCTGGCTTCCAGTACTGCTGGTGTGAATTCATCTCTAGCTTGCAGACAGACCAGTGACCCCATTGTCTGACTCCTGCCCCTAGCTAGGGGCCAGATTCCCTTTTTCTATACTCCTGCATATTTGTCATTTTCTCTTCCCAGTCACTTGACTGGCTCTATTAAAGGGGCAAAGCTGGCATTGGGTGTGGGATGGGATGACTAGCTGGGTGCCCTTCCTTGGTTCAGAGAGCTGTGCGCTTGCCAGTACCTCTGCCCTGCTTTTCGGGTGGGTGAGGTACAGGGGTAGTAACCCAGGTTGGCACTCTGGGTTCCATGTTGAATTTTTCCAAGTCATTCCTTGGCTACTTTGGTTATGTCTTTTTTTTTTTTTTTTTTGAGGTAGGGTTTTACTTTTTGCCCAGGCCAGCCTGGATCACAATCCTCTTATTTTAGGTTTCCCTCTGTTGCTGGGATAACAAACACTGCACCCAGTTACTGGTTGAGATGGGGTCTTGACAATCTTCTCAATCTCAGCTCACAAGTAGCTAAGATTATAGGCATGTGCCACCAGTCCCCAGCAGGTAATGACTTTTAATCCTGGGTCTTCATTCAGTTCAGATAGTGACAGACAGATTGGTTCAGTCTCTGCCAGGAGGCCTGACAAAACTTAATGTTCTTCTAGGTGACTGGGGCCGGTCAGTTATTTCCCTTCTTCTAAAAGAAAATTGCAAGGTAGGGGTGAAGACATGAGCTCTGGAGCCTTGGTATTTATCTTCCTTCTACCTCTGATTCACTAAGCTACTTTATCTTTCTGAGCTTCAGCCTCCTCAAGTTGTTCCACACCAATTGGTTCAGTTCTTACCATTGAATTGTCCATAAGTGGAGGGTTTATTTCTGAACCCTCAGTTCTATTCCAGTGATCTCAATGCCTACCCTTATCTCAGTGCTACCCAGGCTTGTTTACAGTAGCTTCGTGGTAAGTTTTAAAATCAGTTTACCTTGCTCCTTCATTTTCAAGGTAGTTTGGCTATTCTGGGTTTCTTATATTTCCACGTGAATCAGCTTGTCAATTTCTACAAAAAAGGCAGCTGGAATTTTGATGGGGATTTTGTTGAATTTCTTTCAAATGTTTCGTACTTTTCAAAGTACAAATTTTGTGCTTTGTTCAATTTATTCCTAAGTGTTTCATTATTAAAGCTGTTGTAAATGGAGTTATCTTAATTCCATTTTCAGATTGTTCATTGCTAGCATATAGAAATACAATTGAATTTGTGTATTTATCTTATACCCTGAAACTTTGACGTGTTTATTAGTTCTAATAGTTCTTTATAAGTAGGAATTCCTTAGATTTTCTACTTACAGAATCACATCATTTATGGAGATAGTTTTAGTTCTTTCTTCCTAATCTGGTTGCCTTATTTCTTCTTGCTCACACTGCCCAGGCGTGAACCTTCAAAACAGTATTGAGGGCGGAGATGCAGTTTAGTGGTAGACCACTTGCCTAGCATACTCAAGGCCCTGGGTTCAATCCCTACCACCACAAAAATATTTTTTAAAAAGAAAAAAATACAATAGTGAGCAGCATTGGTGAGATCAGACATCCTTTTCTTGATCTTATCTTAGTGCAGAGCATTTTCACCATTAAATATGGCAGTATCCGACTGGTGGAGTAGCTCAAGTGGTAGAGTGCCTGTCCAGCAAGCCTGAGACCCTGAGTTCAAACCGCAATACCACCAAAAAACCATATATATATATATATATATATATATTCAATAGTTGTGCAGTTCTCATAGGAATCCTTTATTAGATTGAAGACGTCTCCTTCTATTCTTCGTTTCTTGGGTAGTCTGGATTTTTTTTGTTGTTGTTTTTTATCATGAAGGTATATTATTTTTATTTTATAATTTTATTTTATTCTATTGTCTATTAAGGTAATTGTATGTTTTTTGCTCTTTATTGATAGGGTGTGTTACATTAATTTTCAGATGTTAAACCAGCCTGGCATTCCTAGGATAAATCTGACTTGGTCAAGGTATATAAACCCTTTTATATTGTATGAACTTTTCTGACATTTTCTTGAGCATTTTTCCTTTGTTTTCATGACAGAGTCTGGTCAGTGGTTCTCTTTTTTTGTGATGTTGTTGTCTGGTTTTGGTATTAATATTTTTTAATGTGTTAGAGAGTATGGACAGGAGAGATTGATAGGCTTCTGCCCTCCTGTGCTCACTTGAATTTGGTGGAAAGAAGCTCTGAACAACAGTTCGGTCAGCAGAGGTAATTGTTTGGCCTGAAGGCAAAAGATGAGCCTGTGGTGTTTCCTGGACAGTAAAGAGCATACCTGAGGGGTCTGCCATCTGCCGGTCTTCAGAGAAGGAGAGACCCAGGAAATCAGCCATAAAGGTTCCTCCTGGCTCAGAAACTAACTCTAAAGGCATAAGCCATGGTAACCAATTGGGAAGCTCACCCTCCCTTTTTAGTAACTGCCCCAAATTTCATAGAGAAGAAGAGAGGGAAAATCAGCAAGTTCATGACGAGACTCTTACTGAATGTGTACCTGGCCACCCAATGATAAAGTTTGGTCAAAGAATGCTCTGGAGGAGCCTGTCTCCTTTTTTTTTTTTTTTGCACTGGTAGAATTTGAACTCAGGGCCTACACCTTGAGCCACTCCACCAGCTCTTTTTTGATGTTTTTTTGAGCTATCATCTCACAGAACTATTTGCCTGGGCTTTGAACTGTGTTCCTCCTAATCACTGCCTCTCGAGTTGCTAGGATTATAGGCATGAGACAGCGGCACTCATCTGCCTGTCTCCTTTTTGGCTTCAAAAGAAGAAAGGCCTTTGTGGTGGGACCTGGAAAATAGCAAGTCTTATAGGAACAGGACAGGGCATGGGATGGACAGCAGTTCTGTGCACCCTTTCTGCAGCCCCAGCAGCATATTGGGATGTTCTATAATGAGGCATGTGGATTCCTAGCCTGTAGGGGCAACCAGCTGGCAGTGCGGGAATGTAAGATTCTTCTGAGGCTTTTGATTCAGGTGTCTTATTAAATACTCATCAGAGTCCCCATGTGACCTTGAGAAGGTGAATTCTTTCCTGCCCTGAGAATACAGGGCAGGCACAAGGCCAGACTTCTAGCTTCTAGGTCTGAGCTTCTCCAAGAAGCCAGTGGCCTGTTCCCTCTGCAAACTCACCATTCCTTCCTGGGGAGCCAGTGCTATTTTTGTGCCAGCAGCTCACTGCAGAGGCCCAAGGTCCCTGTGAGAAAGCCCACGAGGCAGGCAAGGAAGGAAGCAAGTGGGCTGCCACCATTTATTGCCTCAGAAGCGTCTTCTGCTGACACCTCCTCGCAGTCTCGCTCAGACCTCTCCTGCTTCATAAGCTGGGAGGCAGCACTTGGAGAAGTTAGCATCTGTTAGGTAACCAGCTCAGCTGCCATGTAGGGTATGATGTAATCTTGGAGTCTGTGGTTGCTACGACAATTCTGCCTGCAGTAATACTGTGTAGTCCCAGGGATGGGGTGAGAACAGTATGTTCCTGAGGAGACAGGAAGGATTGGTAAGGCTTCTCGAGCAAAGGAGCCTCATTCTAAGAAGCCAGATTATTTGAACTCTTATAGAATCTTATTTTTCTTTTCAGGAATAGAGGTTGTACTGTATGGGCAGATTCTCATGAAGGCAGAAAGTAGTATAGGTGGCAACAGGTTAGTTTCCTTAGTGCCATCTTGGTGCTGTAGTGTCAAATAAAGGCATGTCTTGTGATGTCACATCTTTGCATTGGGCCCTCATTCTGCTTCAGTGCCCCAAGGTGCCTCCTCTCCTTCGTGTGGTAGGGCATTCGGGGTGAAACTCCCGAATGGGTGGTGTGGACTGGTTGGCCAACACTACGCTGGCTCTAGTCCACATGCCAGAGGCCCCACCACACACCAGCCTACTCTTGGGTGGCCTTTCCTGTCCCTGTTGTTATCATTCACCCCTTCCAGGGAGAATTCCTTCAGTAGCACAGATGAGAAGTATGTCAGAAAGGCTAAGATAGCCTGACTTATTATTTGGGGAAAAACTCAGAACCACCATTTAGAAAAGGGGAAGAAGACTGGGGGCACAGCTCAAGTAGTAGAGCACCTGCCTAGCAGACTAGCAGATGTGAAACCTTGAGTTCAATCCCCAGTACTGCTGAGAGAGAGGGAGGGGAGGGGAGGGGAGGGAAAGAAAAGAAAGAAAGAAAAGAAAAGAGAAAAGAAAAAGCAGTTGGTGAGACCCAGGAACAAGGAAGTAGGGCAGGACTCACTGGAAACAACTTAACACAGCAGGTTCATTCCTCCCCAAGAAGGTTAGCATTTTGAGCGTCTCTCCTCCCTTGCCTCTTCTGGCTATGTGTCAGAGCCTGTCTTATGAAAAATATGATAAAAGAAGTGATTTCATGAGTGCCTGGACCAGAATCTCAAATTCAGGATTAAAAAAAATAAGAATTATGGATATCATCTGTGCCTGTCAAGCTAGGCAGCAGGTTAGAAATGGGCCTAGCCAAACTCTTTTGAACAAGTGTTGGGTTTAAGCAAAGGATAGCTATTGCAAAGATGAGTGACTATTAGAAATCATAATGGGCAAAATCTTCCAAAGGTATCAAGACCTGAGTCTTAAGGAAGGAAGAGGTTCCCAGTCCTTCCCTCCAGCCCTGGGCTCAGGTCCTTTTTACTGGGTAGCCTTGAACAAGCCTCAGCCCTGCAGTAGGCTTGCTGGTCATATCCCTTAGCCAGGCTGCAAGGGAGAAAAGAGGAGAGATGGGCTTCCTTAGAAGCTTTCTATCAGAAAGCACCATGATACCAGGGCCAGGGAAGACTGGTGCTACCCTTGGGCCACAACCTCCCTGCCTTGTCCTGATTACAGGCCAACACCAGAAGCCCACCAGCAATTTTTGTCTCCTGGTCTGCAGGTGCAGAGGACGTGGTGATGGCGTTTTCCAGGTCGGAGACAGAGGACCGGAGGCAGTAGCTGCAAGCCCCTTGGAACACGCTAGAAGCTGTCAAGGGCCAAGAGATTTGTGTGGCTCCTCGGCTGGCTGAGTGGCAACAGACCACCTCCCCCCTCCTACTGTTCCCCTACTCCACCTACCCCACCCCACAGCCACTCTGACGCTGGCATCAAGGGAGATGCCAGTGGTGTGTTTACAATTGGCTTAAAGGGATGGACTCGTGATTGGCTGCAGGAAGAAACCTTTTTATTTTTAAAATCTTGACCAATGGAAACCTTTTATTTTTATTTCTGACTCTTATTTTTTTAAAAATTTGCGCCTCGGTGTCTGGCTTCCTAGGAAGCACTCCGAGTTCTGGTGCTTTATTTAGGTCATTTTTTAGGAATGTGAAAAAGCCCAATTGGCTGCTTAAACTGGAAAAGGATTATGATTGGCTGACTAGTGGGAAATGGCGTTTTCTTTGATTGGCTGCAGGTGTTTTGTTGATATTGACAGCTTCTCTATTCTGAATGCAGAAAACAGGGTTTGGGACATTGATGGTTATATTTGACTTGAAAAAAAAAAAGAAACCAAATAAGCTTTGCAATATTTATTACACAAAGAGCTTGCTGCTGCCTTCACGTGTTGGATTTGTGTTTGAATTTGACTAGCATTCGATATGTGTGTTTGGTTTCCCATTGGCTCACCCCTGACTCCCGTTGCCATGGATTCACCTCCACTCTGCTGCTTATTTGGGGTCTGGGGGTCCACCTGGAGATTGCATGTGCTTTCATGACTGCACTTGTCTCCACCAGCAAGGGAACCCTAGGGGGTCCCAAGCAGGGTCCCAAGCTAGAAAACAGGGTCCCCAAGGAGTTTTGTGTTGTCCTGAACCAGGAACCCAGAGCTTAGAGGTGATCATGAAGAAGGATTTGTGTGCATTGCTTCCATGAGTTGGTAGCCAGACAGTTTTCCTTGGTGAGAATGGGATCACTCACTTTGGCCCTCCATGACCAGCCTGTGCTGAGCAGAGTGCCTGCTGAGAAGCTCTGTCCTCTTGGCCATCCTTCTGTGTCACACTTCTTGACACCTCTGCTTAGGGCTCTTCCTAGAAAGGAAAGTTGCTGCTCCTATCTGTAAGACCCCCAAGACCCTGGAGGTTATAGCAGGTCTCTCCCTGTGAGCCTGGAACCCACACAAAAGCCCCAACCTGTCTCCCAAAGCCCAGGTGACCTTGGTTCCAAACACCAAGCCAACCTACCCATGCAGGTTCCCTCACTGTCTGCTGCCTGGGCACCTTGTGTTCTCTCATCAAAGCCTGTGTCCCACTGCACATCTCCATGTCAGCCTGGAAGGGACAACACATGGCATACTATTGAAGTGCCACCAGGATTGCTGGCTGATTCTTCACTGAGAGGCCCCACTAGGCTGCTAGACTGGACCCCAGAATTACATTTCAGAGCAGCTCCTGATGGGGCTTGGCTCAGTCAGGTATTGATGCAGGAGCCCTGAGTCTCCCACCCTGACTCCTTCCCTAGGAGTTTGGAGGAAAGTGGGAGGTAGGAGAAGTCCCTTTCTTGCCCTGAGTACCTAGAGCCAGGAAGACACTCTTGGAGCATCTTTCCCTTACTCAAGACTTGGGCTCCCATGTGTCGTGGAGTTCAATGTCAACGTATGCTGAAACCAGGCCCTGGGGTACCCATTGTTGATGAATGGTTTGCACCATAAGCCTTGTTCCAGAAGGAGAATTTGAGTGTCATAGCTCAGACTTGAGTCTTCTAGCACACACGAGGCCCTGACTCTGTTAGCTAACAGTAACATGCTAAGGTCATTGATCTTAAGGAGACAAGAAATGGAAAATGCAGGTGCATCCAATTCCAGCGAGGGTCTGAGACATCTCTCCTCAGGCTGAATGGTATGAGTGCACGCACATGTGCATGCATACACATTCACTCATTGCCAGCTCAGTGGCCTGGAGCTACAACTGAGTCCCTGGGCACAGGTGGGGCTTTTTAGTCTCTTCCCCTAGATTGTAACATCTGGAATCAGGTGTTAGCAGCTGCCCTCCCCTCTCTCCCACTTTGTACCTGTAGCTCCCATCAAGGCCCCAAGCTCTGGGTGATGATGGTGTGTTCTCTGTTGCAGCTTGTCCTTATCATGATCACGGCACCCTAGCCTGGCTCATCTGAAGAAAAAAATCTGAAGTATTGCTGTGGCTTTATATTTCAACTAAAAATATATTGGAGAACAAAATTAACAATAAAGGTTTTTCATAGCTTGGCAGGTGAGCTGAGCTGGTTTCTCCCTCAGAGTCAGTGCAGTGCTCTGATTCATTCCCCAAGTCATGCTGGGGCCCTTCCCAGGCAGGCACAGGGAGGAGGGATGACAGCTCATTTGATGAGGCTGTGCCCTGGGCTAGAGCTCAGGGTTTTGAGGGATTTCCAGAACTGTTTTACCTTGGAGATTCTGAATCTTCAATTTCCAGGGTACCTCGTCATTTCTTTTTCTTTTTCTTTTTTTTTTTTTGGTGAGATGGGTTTGAACTTAGGGCTTCACGCTTGCAAAACAGGTGCTCTACCGCTTGAGCCACACCTCCAGTCCATTTTGCTCTGGTATTTTTTTTGGAGATGAAGTCTCACATCAGACCATGATCTTCTGGATCTCAGCCTCCCAAGTAGCTAGAATTACAGGAGTGAGCCTCTGGCGCCCAGCTGTGTCTTATCATTTTATGCTAGACACGGAGCACTCCATTGGTTTGGGGACCCTGCCAGCACCCAACAACATAAGGCTTGTTACAGAAGTCCCAAGAGAATATCCATCCCTTCTGTCTTCCTGTAAGTAGAAAATATATTGATATTCAGCTGTGGATTCAAATTTGGAAGCTGAAATCATTTCTGCTTCAGGAAATTTTGCTTTGGAAGCAGTTTCTAGAAATTTTCATTTCCACCCTTCACAATCCCATTTTAACTACTCTTCCACCCCCAGCCCTGCTTATTTACACGGACTCATTGCTTTTGTTCCCCCTTTTTAAAATTTTCGCTGGATGCCGGTGGCTTATGCCTGTAATCCTAGCTACTCAGAAGGCAGAGATTAAGAGGATCGTGGCTCAAAGCCAGCCCAGGCAAGTAGTTTGAGAGACCCTATCTCGAAAAAGCCCATCACAAAAAGGGTTAGTGGAGTGGCTCAAGGTGAAGGCCTTGAGTTCAAACTCCAGTACCATCAACAAAAAGAAGATAAAGATAATAATTTCCCTGGATGCTAGATGCTGTGGGTTCAGAACATGCGCAGGCAGGGCACAATTGCATCATTAAATCTTGAGTGTTGAGCTGGTGCATGTGTTCCCAACCGATCAAGAAGGTGAGGCAGAATTACTTGAGACTAGGAGTTCAAGGCCAGTCTGGGCAACATAGTGAAACATCCTGCTCAAAAAAAAAAAAAAAAAAAAAACCTGGGGTTGGAAAACATGTTATGTGATCCAGCAGCCCATTGCAGTGGCCAGACACATGAGACCCCTCCGAAACATCTGAAAAGACCTTGCCCTGCCTTTCCTTGAATACCAACCAGGGTGAGGGACTCCCCTGTCAGGGGACTTATGTTCATCCCTATATTAATTTGGTCTGACTTTCTCTGTAACTTCCTCGTCCAGAAAGGCATTTGTAGCCACTGCAAGAAAGACAAAACTCACATAGAGATGCCTATTCAAGGGCCCATGCTAAGTAAATTAAGGGCAGACTCCACCCTCTACCTAGTTCTGGGCCACACTGCCGACCTTGCAGTTAATAGGCTTAGAGGCATAGGCATGCCCAGCCCCCAGCAAAGCTTGGACTGTGCTGGAAGGGAGACATCCACCAGAGCTATCTAACTCGTGTCTGTAATGGGAAGTAGACCATGTAAAATCAGTCAGGGACACTTCCATACTTGAAGTGAAAACACTGGGGACAGTGTTGGGCTTTCAGAGTTCCTTCTGTGTCTGCTTTCCTGGGTACAGGTGCATGGTGCTGGTAATAACCCTAAGGGGCAGGATTGGGACTGCTGGGACATGCTGGGAACGGGTGGCTGAGCCCAGGGGAGTCCTGGGACCAGCAGGACTAAGAAGCAGAGCCCTCTCTCTTGTTGGTGTTTTCCAGGCCTGAGGGGGAGGGCAGTTGAGAATGAGTGAAGCGCTGCTTTCTGTCTCTGCAGGTAAATAGCAGCTGTGAGCATCCAGGCTGCTCCCAGCCTTTGAACAGAGTTCTTTGTCTCAAGGAAACTGATCTCCTCCATGGCACCTGGTCCAGTTGGTGGGGGGCAGGAGTCAACTTCCTAAATGGGATAGCTGTATGGGCCCCAGGGGACCTCAGCATACCCTGGAGCCTCTCATGTGTAGGGGTCTCTCTGGGTTGCCACCACCTCTTTCCTGGTAAATGAACTAGGCCCAGACTCACCAGGGAACCATTCAGAAAGTGCTCATACCCCTCTGCACTGTTCACTGAAAGAATTTGATCTTCTGGGAAACAGCTGGGTATTTAGGAGCTGTGAGAAGTACAGAGGGATGGCAACTAGTCCTGATTCTAATCACAAGGCAGGAAAGTAGACTAAATGCTTTTTGCAGTTATCCCATGACTTATATTCACTTTTCTCCTGGACACTGAAACCTCCTCCTCATGAATGCTTCCCAGAGGATCACCAGTGCCTCTCCTACAGGACAGGGAAGTCAGGAGAGCTATCAACTCAAAACCAGTCCCAGTCCGTCCTACACCCCAACACACTTCTGTCTGAGGCTCCAGGGAAGGAGGAGTTTGCAAAGCAGGTAGCCACCCATGTTTACATACCTTTGGGAGCCATGCCCCACCCTGTACAGCCCTAGGAGCTGACTTCAGACCCAGAGCCAAGACTCCTGGTCTTGGCCTTGACCATGCTGCTTCCATTGGAAGGAGGTGAATTTTCACAAACATCATACGTGCTGTGCTTTAAATATGACCTTCAAAGGTTCCTGTGTTGGAAACTTAATCCCCAAATCCACCTGTCAATGTTATTTGGAGAAGAGCCTTTGCAAGGTCATTAGGATTAGATGAAGTCATGAGGGTGAGACCCCCATGAAGGTTTTATGAGAAGAGGAAGACAGAGGCTGGCAGAGCGGCTCAAGTGGTAGAGTGCCTGCCTGGCAAGCACAGGGCCCTAAGTTCAAACTCCAGGAGCACAAAAAAAAGACCTGATCTAGCAGGATTGCTCTTGTTTCACCATGTGATACCCCTCTGCCATGTTAAAATGCAACAAGAAGGCCCTCATCAGATGCTGGTGCCATGCTCTTGAACTTCTCAGCCTCCAGAACCATAACCAAATGAGCTTCTAGTCTTTATAGATTACTCGATTTCAAGTATTTTGTTATAGCAATGGAACTATTTCCTATGCTATGTCCCAGTTTTAATAACACAACTGGTGTTTTTTGTATAGCACTTGTCTACAGGTGTGTAGCACTGCGCTGAGGCCGGCCTTGTAATGTGTGAGGTGAGTGTAATCCTGAACTACCTGACTGTCCATTCTGACTCTGGTTACTTACCTTTCACACACCTGAAGCTGATCATGCAGATCTAGCAGCTCACCTCCAAGCTAAGCTGGTTTTCTAGTAGTAGTTCCTCTTCTACTTTAAATCTTTTGGATGTATGCTGTTTGTCTCTACAGTATAAACATGTCTACATAGCTGGGAACTGGGGAGAAGGTTTTATAGTGGGAACTCTGGAGGCTGACCAGTGGGTTTGAAACCTGTGTGGCAACTGTGTGACTTGGGGTAGATGATCCAATTTACTGAAAAAAAGGGAAAAAATGAGAGCATCTATCCCATAAGGCTGTTGAGAAGTAATTAGATAAATTATAGACAAGCTTAGCAGAGTAGCCTGTGCACACTGGGTGGTCAAGACATAAGGTCATCATTAAGTCACTGTGGTGGGTGGCCCTTTGCCCCCTCTCTCTCTGTTCAAGGATTTGTCTGCAGCACTTGGGGAGGAGCCCAGGGCCAGGTCCAGTTAGGTGCTTATTAAACACTATTTGATGAGGATGAAAGAGCTGAGTGATTGCTTGGTAGAATCCAAGGCCAAGCTGCCTCCTCCTCCCCACCCCACAGAGCCTCTGCTTCTGCTAAGCAGCTTTGGCTTTGTGTAGAAGGTGGTTAATTGGAGCAGTGTCTCTCAGCCTTCCCCCAAGCCTGTGGAGCTGAGTGGGGGCCCAGATGGACTTTGTCATGATTGGGGAAGCAAGCAGAGCCCAGGGGTGGGAGCCTTGACTTCCAGGGACCCTCCTGCTCACCTTCTGCTTCAACTCCAAATAGAATCACAGCCAGGCAGGGAAAGGGATAAAATTAAATCCTTGATCATGATCAAGTGGTTAAAATAAACTGTCACAGCCAGAGGCTCCCTTCCCACTGCAGCGGGCTGTGCTTCAGAACAAGTAGGAGGAGGAGGAAGGTAGGCAAGCCATGTCCTGAGCACCCAGAAACCCCCTGCCTGCCCCTCCTCCACCACCAAATGGCTCCCAGTGTGGAGGCTGCCATCCACTCTGGATGGGGAGGCAGAGGCTTGCTGGGGCTGGAACTCCCCTCAAGTGTGGCTAAACTGGGGGGAAGGCAGGCCAGCCTGGGTTTGAATTCAGACTCATTAGTCATGTGTGGGTAATCTGTAATCTGGACGGTGGGAACAACCAAGATGCCTGCCTTCTTAGATGTCTGTGGTATGTTGAGGATGGGAGCACAGGGTGTAGAGTACAGTTTGCCTCGGGTTCAGGAAATAAGGGGATGTGTTGTATGCAGAGAATTTCAGAACAGTAAGATTGACTAAGGATCTGGTCTGATTTTTTAGGGGGGAGGTCCTCATGTAGGTGCTACTGTAACCCTGGGGCTAAGCGGGGCTGCTCCCAACCTTTGACCTCCCCTGTAGGCAGGAAACCCTGCTGCCTCCACTCACAGGGTCTTCCTGGAGCAGGGCTGAGTCCAGGCAGGTTGGTGCCAGAAACAGCTAGGTGAGGAGTCAGAGACTCATGCCTAAGATGCTCTATAGTCATGGGCAACGCCTCAGGCCTGGGGTGCCTTTGTGCCTCTCACAGCTTCAGAACAGGGAAAAGCTGTTATCTTTTCACCCTGGGCCCTGCCCTGCTTGAGGGGACCTTGGTGGCCTGAGCTGCTGTAACCTGGCAGGGGAGAGCCTGCAGTGCTTGCTGGGAAGTCTGCAGTGTGCTGAAGGCAGCACTGGGGGTGTACCTTGGCTAAGGAGTTAGGAAACTGAGGAAGGAAGCAAGGGGGTAGTAAAAATAGCCCTTTGTTTACCATAGGCTGAAATCCTTGTGTGTCCTTGTGAAAAAAGAGGAGCCAGAGCAGCAAGATACAAGATGAGTATCTGAAGAGGGAGCTGAGCATCCAGTGTGGACAGGCCTGGCTGAGCAGGAACAGGTCCACCTGTCCCTGCAGGGTC